ATGTCCAAGAAACCCAAGCCCAAGTTCCATGACTCAAGGATAAGTGATGATTTGTTTCTCATTTTACTCTAAATAAGGTGTGATATTTTGGGGATAATCTAAAGATGTCGAAATTCAATGATTCTTGAAGATATGAACAGCTAAGAGATAATATGGCTACAATTCATCTGTTGATAATATTTTCTAAATCAATTTCTATCAAGGCGAAAATTAGGGAATAAGACGCGGATCTAGGTTGAGCAGTTTAAGGAGCCTGGCGGCACAATAAAGAGAGGAAAATTTGACCTAAAAGGGTTAGGGAGGATCTTGATTGATGAGTTTTATTTGTTATTTTGCTTTGATTCCTTTAGAGATTTCAATGTTTRATTTTGTTCTTGAGAGATTCTTAWTKWTTTTWRRWTTKRWWAAYCCATAAGTTATATTCTTCAATTTCCATATGAGATTAGTCATGCTCTTTTTATGTGCAATTTGTTAGAAAATAATTGATTGGGTAGATTTATTTTATGGGTTGATCCTTTACTGCAATACTATCAGTTTGATATATTGTCGCTCTTGGATAGCTTGTAAGAATAAATCACTTTGTTCTTCATTGAAATTTATTTTCTCAGAACAAATACTTTTGTTCTTACCATTAGTCTTCAAAGTTATATTTTGCGATTGTTTGTTTGGGATGTGAAACATGCAATTGAGTAATAAATAGGAATTAACATTGAGAACAATTGAACAAATCAATCAAGTAAATCTCGAAGCCTTGTTCATCACAATACTACTTTTCATCCTTCAATCATTGTTACTTTTATTCGAATATTCTTATTCTTATTTTTAGAAAACCATTTTTTTTAGTTTATTTACTCTTAACGATAACTCCTTTTGTTGGTTTAATTAGCTTCTTGTGGATTCGACACCTAAAGCTACGCTTCAACGACTGCTTAGCCAAGGGTAATTATTTTGGGCAAGACAATTTGCAGAGCCTATTTTCCCCTTCTTTGTTCATGTGGTGCATAAAAAGGGGAAGGACTATGTGGAAAGAACCGAGGGATGCCGTATGATGGTCTTTATGGGAAGAAAGAAATCTTAGAATCTTCTCGAAAGAAGAGAGAGGGTGTTGAAGAATTGAGGGCTATGATCCATATCAGGGCTGTGCAGTGGCTGAAATCTTTAGAGCTAATCACAAACTACACAGTGGATGACATGTGAGGAAGTGGGGTGAGATTGCAAGCTGTATGAAGTCCAATTCAGAGTGTCTTGGACACCCCCACCTGCTGGATTCCTAAAATTGAACTTTGATGGGAGCTGTAGGGGGAATTCTGGACAATCAAGGATTTGGGGTGTTTTTAGGGATGAGAACAATGTCATTTCAGCCATGTGCTTAGGTCCAATTGGAATGGGGGATTCTCTTATAGCTGAGATCTTGACAGTTATGGAAGGAGTTCAAAAAGCTAAGGAGATGGATGTCAGAAAACTCATAATTGAAGAGGATTTGGAGATGGTAATAGGGTGGCTGAGGAAAGACAACTATGGATTATGGAAATACAGCAATGAGAGGAGAAAGTTCAAGTGACTGGTGCGGGAAATGGAAATCAGGATGAGTTGGGTTAAAAGAATAGCTAACTCTATAGCTGATGGGCTAGCTAAACAGGGGATAGAAAGGGATGTAATGTTTTGGGCTAAGTTGTAACTAAATTGCTTCTTCTTTTCATTTTCTTTCTTTGAGGACTTAAGTTGCTTTTGGAAGATAAGAGTGTTTGTCTTCCTTGCTGTAACTATTCTTGTGATATTTTAATAAAATTGCTAAAGTTGTTATTGATTAAAAAAAAAAAGAGAGAGAGAGAGAGAAGTGGTAACAGTACCAAGCAAGAATACAAGTCTCTAAAAGAACAAAATATTCACAGTGGATAAAAGAGAAAATGAAGAAAGTTCTACAACAGATAAAAGGTGAGGTAGAATCACCAACAAAAGAGATAAATGAGCGCATCTCCACCCACTGAAAGAGAGGGATAAACTTATTTTAGTTACAAGCACTACCTTACAATGTAATGATTCGAACATATAAACTTCACTTAGAGCCCAGTATTTGACATATCAACCCCCCCTAAAACCAAGATGTTTGTACAATAAGGTGTGAATGTGTGATACGTATTGATACTTTGGACCTTGTCTCCATCTTCTTTTTTCTTGATAGATAAAATAATATTACACTAAAATAAAGAAATTACAAACTGTTCAATACAAACTAGGGTGTGAGCAGCCATATTATCATTCCTTGGAATATATTTATATACAACTGAGTTTAAGTCATTTTGGGTACACAAAAAATGATCTAACCAAAAATTATACTTCCAAGCTAAACCACATGAATGAGAATTGGGAGAATCCACAACGTTCTTTGCATCAAAGAATGGATGCCCATTGATTATCCTTAACAAGAAGAAGATCCTTCCAAATTGCTCTTAATTCAGCCACTACCAGATCCATCAATGTGCCACCTATACCACCTGCAGTCATAATAAAATTCTTGTTGCAATAAAAAACACAAAGTCCCTAAGAAATCCTACCCTAGTTAGCACATTGAATAACCCTACTTTGACCCAAATCCCCTAATATTTCTTCTAACAAAATAAAGCTTCCAGCAGAATCATAATTTATATCATTTGAATCGTTGGCCCTTAACCCAAATATTTTGTTAACTGAATTCAAAACCTATCTAACTGATCTATTGGCATTATTAAAGATATAATCATTACAAGCTTTCCAAACAAAATATCAAGCAATATTGAGAAATAACTCATCAGAAGCTCCCCAAAAACTAAAGAATTAACAAGCTCCAAAATAAAGTCTACTAGGGCTACCAAAAAGAACAGCCCTAATAAAAGGATAATAACAAAATGAGTGCAACACATATTCTTGAGCATTTTTACACAAAGGACAAATACTATGCACATTTATACCTAATTGAATCAAATCCCTTTTAGTAAAAATAAACCTAATGATTCGTCACATGAATAAGTTGAACTTGAGAGGAATTTTAAGTTTTCAAGCTTACCTTATCAGATTTAAAATGCTTCTATCCAATTGAGCGTTCACCATCTTCCTTTCTAAAAGATAGAATTGTTTAGGCTGTGTTTGGAAACAATGCAAATAAGTGTAAATGCAAATATGTAGAATGTAAAACGGTTTATATAAATTACAAAATTGGGTTAGTTTTGCAGTAACAAATTTACCTTTTTACCAAACAGACTTTTAGCTGTAATGGATGCAAACATAAATTCCAATAAAGCATATGCTTTTTTTTTATCAAAAGCTCACTTGAATGCAAATTTACTTCTTTTTTATTGATGTACTTTTACATCTTATTGTCAATGTAAATATACATTGATCTGTCATTTGCCAATGCATAAATGTAACATTGCCAAACACAGGCAAAAGTGAACCAAAGTGCAAATTTACCCTGAACCGGGATTTACACTCCATTTGCATTGTTTCCAAATGCAGCCTTAATAGAAAATTTCCCATTAGTTGTCCTCTTCCAGACAAACCTATCCTCCGATGATGACATCATCATTTTTGGTATTATCATCAGGAGATGTTCCTAATACACGATCGGGATATACCATGGGACATGTGGGGGGCAATGAAAAATATACATGTTTAAAATAGAACTAACATCACCTTGCGAGAATAATTGGTTTACTTCTTGTTGGTCCCAACTTTATCATGTTGATTTATTAACTCCCTCACCTTTATTTATTTATTTATTTATTTTTATTTTCTCTACTAGGAGGACTCATTGGAACATAAAAAGATTCATCCTTATATATCCAAGGAAAATTCCAAACATTAATTTGGGAATTAACAGAAATTTGCACACCAATATACGAAAATAAGCTCTAAAGAGATTCTTTGCTAAATTTTTCCAAACAGGAGAGGCAGAGGTTGAAATTTTCCTAGAAATTAACTCACCATTAGTTAAATATATGCTTTTGAGCAGTTTAACCCACAGCTTATCTGCTCCCTCTAAAAATCTCCAAGCAAGTTTACTCAAAATAGCTCTATAAAGAATTTCAACTTGTTTAAATCCATGGCCCCCTTCCCGGACCGGAGCACACAACTTGTTCCAACTAGCCCACTTTACCCCTTTTCCAAAAGCCTCCCCCTTCCACTAAAAGTTCCTTTGAACTTTCTCCATTACTAGAAGAGTTTTCTTTGGAAATTGCACAAAATATATACCAGGATAGAATTTAATACGGAATGAATCAAAGTTTTCCTTCCAGCATAAGACAAACAAGAAGCCCTCCCCATTTTGCCAACTTACCTCTCATTGTATGATAAAGGCAGAAACAATCAACAGTTGCCTTCTCCCAAGATCTTTCCGTTCATTACATTCAAGGTTCAAAGTATCGATATGTGTGATATACAAAGAAGTGGGGCAACACTAAGATTAAAAATATTTCAAGCTTCAAGAGTAGAACCAGAACATATCTAGGAAGGGTATTAACCTTCAAAAATTGGCCACATGGCGTAATTCCTAAATCTCTTTAATGCATCACTGGGTTCAAAAGCCAATACATATTGGTCGATACACACTGATACTTATATTATGAACCTTTGTTAATAGCTTAGCAATCCCCTCCAACCAATTAGGCCACTTGCCCTCTACCTTCAGTAGATCCAGTTGTGATCTAAGGAGATGAATTAAGTATGTGTTTGATTCCGTTTATATTTATTGACTAAACACTCCTACATAGGCACCATATTAGCAAAAGCCTCATTAATTGCATTTGTACGTATGCAAACATCAATTTCTATGCACCTCTCACGTTTTAAGAAGCTTCATTTTAGAGCTTCCCCCAATGGGTAGGCGTTTATTGGATCTTTTGCTGATGTGATGCCTAATGGTGCCTATGTGTCATAAACACCCTCATTAATTGCTTTTTTCGGTTTTACAGCCATACAAGTACAGAACATTTACTCAATAAATGTAATAGGAACCAAACACATACTAAGAAACAAAGAACTCAAAAATCTTTCATCTCCTCTAAGAAGCCTGAATTCTGATAAACAAGCAGTTACATGATAATCCTCAAAAGCAAGGTTTTTAAAATTAGACCAGACAGGGAACTGCTCCAGGTCAAACAGTCCAACCATCTGGTCCAAGCGGACGGCCCACTCTAACAAAAAATAAAAAAAAAATAACAAAAAAGACCAAAAACCATAATCCAGGTTGATGGTTCAACGGTTCACCCGCCCATGGTTTTGGGATGAAACGGAACTGGTCAGGTAACTGGTTCCCAGTTTTTCTGGTCCAACCGTCCGGTCTGGTCCCGTTTTGAAAACATTGATCAGAAGTTCTCAAGAACTGATCCCTTTCATCAGGAAACCAACTTCCAAGTGCCAACTCCCAAAACTGACGCACTGAGGTTTTGACACCTTGTTGCAGTGAACTTTCCAACCCAGGTTGTAGAAGGGCGGAAGAGGTGGCCAGCCACACTTCAAGAATTCAGACAAGACGATACAAACGGAAGGAATGCAGATAGCAGATCAGATATACAACCACCACGTGAACGGTGAACCTAAGTTGAACTCACCTGGAATAAAACCATACAAGAACGGAAGCACAGAAAAATTACCAATCAAGAGCCATTATAATTACGATAGAAAAGAACAATTATTAAGAAAAAAAGGGGCATAAAAACCAGGATCTGTTATGCTAGAAAGATGTACAGTGCTAATCTCTCAGACATGCAATGGCTCTTGACACAGAAAATATGCCCATTGTCTTGCAAATACCTATTGCACCTACAGGAGAAAACTTTTCACCAGGTTTTATACTAGGCCCATATCATTTTCATCTCCATGAGATTGTAAAATTTGCATCCCAAAATGTGATACAAAATTTTACACCCCTTCCTCAATTCCCTCCCATATAAGGTGAGGACCACAATGCTGTTTCATTACTCGTTTACTTCCCTTTAAACAAACAAAGCAAAACAAAATCTGAACCAAAACTAAACCAAGATTCTCTTCACCTTCATTTTACCTCCTAAACATTTTACTTGATAAAAATGAAATTTGCAGTTTGGCAATCAACCAACCCAGCCTTGTAAGCAACAGAGCTTGACTCTTCTTCTTGGAAAGCACATGGAAAAAGAGGTCCTCTTTTTGACATGTCAGAACTGGACACCAATATCACAACCACCATATCTACAATGAATACCATGCCAGGCCCATCCGGACTAAAAGTTTGAACATTCTGTTTTGCCATTTTTCTGGTTTTTTAGCATTTTCTCAGGTCAAAGTGACCAACAATACCAGAGCAAGATCATTTGCAATGTCACTGACAACTTGATTCAAGTTGACCTGCCAAGGTTTACTTTCTGCTGGAACTGCCACTTCAAGAGTTACAATCAGTAAACGAACATAATTCTATGGAGAATAACAAAAAAAGGTACTGTTCTCACATTTTCTATTAAAAATATTATGACCCCCGGACTCAGGAAAAAGGCAAAAACTGCCCAAATCATTGATTTGGTCGGATTCTGAGCTTCAAAGATCGTTGATGGTGAATTCCACTTGAATCAGTCATGTTCCCCTGATGTGATCCATCCATATAATCCAGATAACTCCAATGAAATATTCATGAGCCCCATGGTGCAAACTTTGGTCGGAAGGACCCTCTTCAGAACACATCTCAAAGAAGGGTCCACAGGCAAAATGAGGCAATCCCCCCTTGTTATTTAAACACTTTCCAATCATTACTGTTCTTCAATACTGAAAGAGGACCCCGAGCGTCTTCTCTTGGGTTCACGTTCTCCCAAATGCAGTGAAACACAAAGGTCTTCACCAGAGCAATTCCTTAATGCAGAAAGGCCCTTTGACTCTGGGTGGTCCTGCTGATCTTTTTGATGCACTGGAGATTGTCCAATGAAGTTGGAAATGAACTGATGCTCAACACTGGGAAGTGCCTCGACCCCATCTACATGAAATTCAGTGTGTGTAAAAGGGTGAGTCATTGTCTGCGGTCGATCTTCAATGGGGATTTGCTGAAGATTAAAACCCAGAGGCTTAAAGATTTCCCCAGTTTTGTCCTTCAGATGTGTTCCCTCTGCAGGTGATGATTCTCCAACAATAGAGTCCAAGGCTGCTGTTGAAGCAGTTCTTTGTTCTTGCACTGCTACTATATTAATGAAAAGATCATTAACGTGTTATCACATATATGAACCTAAAAAGAGAAAGTGGGGGCGTGTGTTGGGGGAAGGGCAATTCAAAAACGAAAGCAACAAAATGAGATCCATCATTCTATAAACACAAACCTTGAAGTCCTTCACTGGTAGTGACGAGTTCAAGTTCTAGAAGATCAAGAAGGCGTCCGAGATCAACACCACTTGTCCAATTCTCAGGAGGTTGGCCAACTTTCAGCTTCAACCTCCCCCGATTGGCTGTCCCACCCCATATTATTCCAATTGGTCGTGGCTTCTCACCGTCCTGACTAGTCATGAGGATGAGGCTCCCACTATCACCTTCAAGGTCAAAGGTCTGTTGGTTCTCCCCAACAACAAGAAAATCAGTGAAGAAACATATCCCTTTTTCATCATTGTACTCAAGGGCATATGCCATTACTGTCCCAGTAGTCAAGCCAGAGCTTCTTCCAACCTTCACAACTTGTTTCCCTATGAGGCTGTTGATTGGAGACTGCAAGTCTATGAACTTGACATCACCAATCTCACCTACACCTTGCACAGATGTAGTTACATTGGAAATCTCAAAATCATCAGCAAAGGGAATGAACGCCCCATCAGCTCGTACAAAGGTCTCTGCACATGCACCAAATTGTAATGGGCATGCGTGGGGGTCAGGTTGTAATTAAATTATACAAATCCATAAAAGATGCATTTGCAAAGTGGTAAAAGCATAACTGTAGAAGAGAATGATTGCAACCTTATTTATTACACAATAATGTGCATAAGACAAATTACCAAATCAAATTTCAAACAAGTTCACTTGCTTTGATCAAGCCACAAGTACCAAACCCAAATACACTATTCATTGGAAAAGAGCACAAAAGATGCAATAACAAGAAGCAAATTTCCCCTAACTATGATAGCATACATGGCACCGTGCAGCCAGACTGGAGCATACTACTTAATGAGTTAAGCCACTATGTGTGGGTTGTAACTTGTAACAAAGATCTGTTATCAGAAAATACCCTGCTTAGAAGATCTGGTATTGGGAACTGCCCTGCTGAATTGCCCGAAACAAGATAAATTAATGGGTTTCTGCTTTTTTCTTTTGCCCATCTAGCATTCTTCATATCCCAAATATGATAATTAACCAGATGGTTAAAAATCCTACTTTCAAATTTTGGACAAATGAGGGTAAAAAGTGGTCTATGAGTCAAGTCTATGTTCTAGATTCGTTAGTGTGCTATCTTGAACAATTTTAATCAGTGTTGACAGACAATATGTTTACATAAATAGCAAACAATTTGGAACCGCATTACCTGGGTTTGTACCAGCAAAGATCCCATACCAAAGATCATCTGTGATGAATGATGTTGCTCTCTCTACAGCTCCTAGGTACACACCAGGTCCCAGGCTGGGTGGTAAAGGATGAAACATCTTCTGATTTGGGTAATCTAGATCAACCGCAACATGCCGGTTAGTGAGGAAACCAACCTGCCGATTTCCTGTTCGGCTCTTTACAATGGCACCCAAAGTTCCATAAGTCTCTTGGCTAGCTACCTGAGCACAAGCATAGAATGTTAAGTAACATGAAGAATCACAATAAACAATATTTAAAAGTAAATAAAAAGGGAGAAAATATAACTACACATATTCCCTAGAGGAATGTTTGAAGCTGGAACTAGTAAAAGCTAAATATATCCCAAATACAGATAAAGGTTCAAGTGCCAAAATATCATAATAAAAAGAAATAGAATGTTCAGAACAAAGCTGAATAAACAAGAGGGATACAAATACAACTCCTAATCATTTGCATCATAATTTAAGCTCGTGACAGAAGCCCTGTAACTTCCCTTCTCATAGAAAGGGATAACAACGTTTACATTGCAATGTTCTTCCAAAAATCCAATACACTTTTAAGTGGCTCCAAAGGAACATAATGTGATGTTGTTTCATTGAATAGATAAACCAAAACAGCAATACAGGTACACCACAACACATGTTTTCTCTCTTTTTCCTTTTTTTGGTCAGGCAAATTCAGGTAAGGAGTGATGAAAGGATTTGATCCCAGGTTAGTAGGAACCATCTCCACTGACTTCACCGGCAGGTATCTTTATAACTTTTAGCAAAACTAATCCACCATATAGAAGATGACAAATATCATTCAAGTAGACCCACCACCTCTATATAGTATATACCAGGGAACAGAATGTTAAAGACAACTTGCAGTCCAACTCCATGGAATGGATGCACGAGCAGCCTCTCTAGGTTTTAGATACAGCAACATCAGAAAACCTTACATTGAGAAATCCCATGGTTGAACATAATCTGGAAAATAAGCACAATTCTGAATAAGTAATACATGGTAGTGTGCCATGATATCTTACACATCTCACCAAACTCAAGAGGCCAGGTGATGTCCATAAAATATATTCAATACATTCATATTCGGATATATATTATTTTAAAATAATTCCATTTATACTTCAAGGAAAACAAAAAAGAGTTGGTCTAGATAGAGAGGAAGCCCTTTTTGCATGGCAGATATCATCATTATCCTAGTGTTTTTACTGTGTCTGTGAATAATAGGCACTGGCTGCACTATTCCTGTCTCTTCCCTCTAAGTAGGACCATACATTCAGCTAAAGATCAAGTACTCTTTTTTTTCTTCCAATCTCCATCAACTTCATTTTCACCCTCCCCAGGTCCTTTTAGAGCTTTGCACTTTTTTGTCGACTAAAAGCAACTTTATGTTATAGAAATGATAATTAAACGGCGTACAACCATACATGGAGATATACAAGGCTATATAAAAAAAAAATAGAAAAGTCCGAATCTCCTGAAAGCAAAAACTCCATGCACACAGCATCCAGATGCACATTGGGAATATCTCCCATACATGTATGTAAAATTCATGGGGAGATATTCCAAATGTGTGACTGGATTCCCATGCTTTCAGACTATGGGCAGAGTTTTTGCTTGCAGGGAATCCCATTGCTAGATAGAAGACAGCCCTCAGATTTGCAACTTAAGGAAGAAGAGTACCATCATTAATACCCAAAATAAATTCAAAGTCCTTATTCAGCAATTACATTTTAAATTTTTAGTCACCCTGCATTCCATCTGATATGGCCTGAATAATCACCACGGATTTTCTTAACAGAGACTCTCCAAGGCCTACTGGGACTACCTTCTATGGAAATAGAGTTACCACTGTATGGCAATTCTTACCCCCATAAGAAGTGACAAAAACCGTGGAATTCAATGAGCCAGCATCTCCAATGGGTCCACCTTATGCCTATAAGATGTCAGAACCAATTTTTTTAAACCAACCAGGACATGGAACCACTTTTCCATCCAGGTGGTGGGTCAGTGGTTCAACCGTCCAGGTCAAACAAGTCAACCCATGACATTATAGTTAAATCACAGAAAAGATACAGAAATTTTGTAGAAAAAATTGGGCATATCTCTAATATTAAATGTTCATAATAGCAAACAAAATAAATTTGATAAATAAGAATTATGTTATTTATGATAGCAATGGATAAAATACAGAAAAAAAATTAATATCTGATGGGATTATAGCTGATAAGGGCAACTTTTAGGCCCTAATATCAATAAAAATAATACTTTTAATATAATTTCTAAAATAGGTTAACTTTTTAAAAAATATATCAAATAAGGGCAAAAACACTGTTCATTTTCTTCCTCCTACAAACCATTCATCAGAACCGCCGCTTCCGGCAACGCCTCCACCCACCTCCGTCCCAGCCTTGCAAATCTCAATGACTACCATCTACCAGCGCTGCCGCCACCGCCGCCTCCGCCCACCTCTGCTCTGGCCCTGCGAATCTCAATGACTACCACCCACCAACGCTGTGCGGAGGCGTTGCCGGAGGCGGTGCTGGAGGATGGTGGTCATTGAGGTTTGCAGGGCTGGGCTGGGGCGGAAGTGGTTTGGAAGAGGAAAAAGATGAACAGTGTTTTGCCCTTATTTGATATATTTTTTAAAAAGTTAACCTATTTTAGAAATTATATTAAAAGTATTATTTTTATTGGTATTAGGGCCTAAAAGTTGCCCTTATCAGCTATAATCCCATATCTGATCCATGACCCACTGACAGGGCCAAATGGTTCAGTTGTTCAATCAGCCAAGTGGCCCAGGTCACTGAGTTGTTGTCTGAGTCAACATTTCTTTTTTTTGTTCTTTTTGCAGACATAAGGTTTTGTAGTGAAATGGACTCAGAATTCTGGCCAGGTGATGGGTCAACCAGTTCAACTGCAAGTTCAAAACACTAATCACCACTAGCATCAAAAAATACCTACCAACGTGAGTTGCTCCTGGATTGTCAAGAATGCTACAATCAAACAGTAAAGTCATCTTGCTAAGGGCTGGAGAGGTAGGAATACGCAATGGAGACTCCCAGAGAGGATTCAAAAATCTGAGGTCAACCTGGAAGACATCCTCAAAACTCTTTCGATACATAAGCCCATAGATTAGGGAGGAAAAGAACTTAGCCACAAAATGCTTCTCAAAAATGAATCTATTCTTCTCTTCCCAAACATCCCACATGAGTACATAAATGATGGTTGTGGGCTTCCCATGAGATCCCACATTCTAGCCTTTCCATTGCTTCAACTAATGTTTTATATGGTGTGTGGTTCATAGGAAAGGCCCATTTTGTTGGATGTCTCACCTAGCTTATTGCTATGTTCTGATGAGTTCACCTTGAATTTGATGTTTTAATAGGTAATTACCATATTATAGGCTGTAATATGGTTTTTGAGTTGAGTTGAGTTGAGACTAAAGTATGATTCTGAGTTTAAATAGTTTACCCATGTAGGGGTTGAATTTTCAAGGCTAGAATATTCACATTAATAATAGAATACCTTACCCAATTGAGCTAATAGAATTTACTTCTTTCATAATTTGTGTGCTTTAGTTGTGCTTGTTGCTTTTAAAATGCTGGCTTTAGCATGTCTATAAAGTTATCAAGAGCAAATCCACTCCATGCCTACCAAGCTAAGACATAAGTGCTGCTAGAGCATACCAAATTGAGGCAAACCTTGAATATTAGATATGACCCCTAAATAACATGGGTCAAGGTCAGCCAATAAGACAGTAGAGGATAAGCTTCACCATTGAGAGGAAAACAACCTGGATCACCAGCTAAGGCCCCTAAATGACCGCTTGTGTGCCTAGGTGCACCTTTATCACCTGGACAACCAGTGACTTAAAAGCCACTCGGGCGATGCGCATTTTAAGGCATGCTCCTTTTTAATTTTTTGCACTTTTTGTTCTTTTTGAACCTAGCAGCTGGGCTGGGGAGGACCGCAGCTCCGAGAACCCCCTATTTGCTAATGTTATTCATTCATTCATCCTAGTAAAATATCTTCTTAAAAGGTAATTAAAATTATAAAATCATTTTCATGTGTAAGGATTATTTTCTAGGGGCATAAAAAATGCAAGATGTTTTACATCACATTAGCTATTTGAAGTAATGCAATTGARRARAAAWARKWGTGGRTTTTACATGCTTGAAAATGTTTTATATGTTTGATTTTATTTTTAAATTTTCTTTTGAATACGCTTTACATGTATGTTTATGTATTTTCATTTTAGATAATAGGTTTTTTAAATATTTATTTTAAAATTTGTTATATTTTTATTAATATTATGTTCCGTAGTTTTTAATTTTTTGATTTTTTTTGCATTTTTTGTATTTTTGTATTTTTGCACCTTGCTTCGAAAAGGCATGCGCCTCAGGTGCAAATTGCCCCTTGTGCTTTTAAAACACTATGGACAGCATGGTATCAGAACATTAGATCCATCTAGTGTACTGCTGCTCTCTTGACTTCGAAGTTGTTTTCAGTTTCCCTTTTTCTCTCAAAGGAGAGTTTTCTCTTGGCTGGTTTCTTGCACTGGTCAAAGATTACAAGATTGGTAGTGGTGCCAAGGAGGATTCATTGAGGATTGTTGGTGATATAGAAAGCCCCTATTTTGGAAAGTTTTCTGTTGTCTCTTCTCTGTAGGTGTAGAGTGAAGCAGATGAGAGTTCAAATACTTGGTGACTCTCCTGGTTGTGTTGTAGAGGATCACATGGTTGCTCCATCAGCCCTAGTTCTTCCTTCGGTAGTTTGATCTGTCTGGACAAGTTTCTGCGGTGTGTATAACCTGTGTTAATGGTCAAAGAGATCTGTTTATTGCTGGCTTTCCTGTCAATCGAAAAAGTCTTGCTGTCTAGCTTTCCTTAAGTGTGTTTTTAGATTGACAGCAAAGTCAAAATTTGTGGGAGGAGTTTTTTCTGTTCAACAGACCAGAGAACCTTCGTTTTGGGCTGTGATCAGTTGTAGTGTGATATTTTTAGGGTTTGTACAGGTAGCCAACCCTTGTAGATGTTCAGTTCTGCTGTATAGCAGATCTAAATCTTTTTCTTTGGTTGAGTGGCAATGGATTCTGATGATTCAGCCACATCTAGCATGACTGGAACCCTCAGTTGTGAATAAGGTGTAGAAAACTTGTTTATTCCGATTTCAGGGACTCTCCTGGATGGTCTGAA